AGGAAATGAAAATACATGCAGAAAAAATACAGTATATGCGGTCGTGGGAAGTAGTAAAAAAACACGAGTGCGTATGAAACGAGAGATGTGAGAACATTTTTTTTTTTAAATCTTAACCACATTGTCTGCAGCCAGAGTCTTACTGTAAGCATTGTGTTCTGAACCCAGGTGTATTGGTTTCTTCACCTTTTGTCCATTTAGATTGAGGAAGTAGTGAAACTATGCCCTCATTCCACAAGGCATGTGTTCGTGGTGGATGTTTGTTTATAACTACAGTAGGTCTGAAGCCCACTGTGCAGACACAGACAAAGGCTTCTGTGTAAGTGTTTGTCAAGGAAAACAAATGGCTCTTCTGTACGTGCATACTGTTGTGTGTATGCGTGTGTGCTTGTGGGTAATGTGTGAACGCTTGCACTAAGGGAGAGCAGTTGCAGGCGTAGCTAGGAGAACGCCGAGGTTATTTGAGATCATTAGACAGCTGCCAGGACTCCTGTGTCCTGACTCTTGTCCTCTCTACTTTTCTTTTCTCTTCTTGCACGCCTTCAAGTGTTAAACAGTGTGGTGCAACAGTTGCAGGCAGCTGGGAGCGAATCACCCTCTGACATTAGCAGAACAGCTGTTTTATCCCCGTGGCCTGTGCATGAGAACCGGTCTTCGGGTTTGACACAATGAGCCTGCTTTGTTTCAGACCAAAACAATGCACGTGATTGCTGGAACATCAGAGCGCCAGTGTGCTCCAAACTTCCAACTTCTGCTTAAAGATTGTAATTTGTTTACAAAGATAATCCAAAAGAGAAGAGTTAACGTTTTATATTTAGAAGCATAATTTATGTGCAGAACAGGCTGTGATTGTTTGCGTTGTAGCGCACAGTTCATAAATTTGAGTCAGATTGTTTTGCTTTCACTAAAGAGGCCTCTAATTGTGGTAAGACAAGTGGATGTTATTCCCATAGCAACAAGATCATATCTTTCCCAAGAGCAAGATTCATTAATTATGCTGTTTTTTTTCAAGGCCTTTATTTTCTAGGACAAGAATTAGAATGCAAGCTCAATTTCATTCCCAGCAAAAGAGCAGCTTTGCCAAGTGCATCACCTCTCCAGCTGCTACCCAGCTAATAGAGAAATGCTCTGGTGCCTGGAGAATATTAATACACTCATATCAATGCATTGACATCACACACACACACGCACACACACACACACATGCACACTGGTAATGGGTTTGTGTACTTGTTTGTGCAGGACTGTGTGCTTTTATGTTTGTGTTTACACATTTTGTCAAGTTTTTGAAGTTTCAAGTCTGCAATGTTGTGCCACGTCTCATTCTATTTTGCTCTATCTTCAGATATTTTCAGACTAACTTAATGTTGTGAGTCTGCAAAAAGAGATTAGACACAAACATTTTCAGTGGTCTTTGTCTGCGGGTGTGGGTCTGAGAGAACAAGAGATGAAGAAGGAAAGTGGAGGTGTTAAAAGTTTGCTGTGTAATTCTTGTATGCATTGTGACTTGCAAAATCTATCATACTCCTTTTCACATTAATGCAAAAACAAACTTCAGTGTGTCTGATTAAGATTTTATGCGATTGATCTCCACAAAGTTGTGAATAACAGTGAAGTAGAAGGAAAACGACTCAGGTGTAAAAAAGTGTGGTGTGCATTTCTACTCAACCCTCCTCCACAAGAGTCAACACTATATAGAGCAGCCGTTCACTTCTGCTACAGCTGCAAATGTTTTTGGTATGTCTCACACTATGCGTCAAACTTCTAGAAACTGAAAATTTTGCAGATTCTGTTTCTTTTTGTCTGCTAAAAAAACAAAATGTCCACAGAACGATACCACCACCATTATTTTCTGATCATGGAGATTGTGTTTTTAGGGTGATGTTCTCTTCCATGCAAAGCATTTTGCTTGAAGGCAACAAAGTAAATTTTTTGCCTCACACACCAAATTTGTGGAGGTCACAATTAGTAGTTGAATGTGCTTTGATGTAAACTATCTTGCATGAGCTCTGACTAGGATTGAGGGTCATTGAACTGCAGACTGAACCTTAGTCTCAGTCGACAGCTGTGTCTAACAGGTTTTATCAAGCCATCCTGTGTGCTGAAGAAAATAATTTCCTCAGCATGATGCTGTCACGCCCGTGTTTCATATGCGGCATCGTGTGTTTAGGATGATGCACAATGTTTTCTGAGTTGCCATGACCCTCTTGACTGCCACTTGGACTGATTATTTCTGTCAGTTTAGGTGGACGGCCAGGTTTTATGAGATTTGCAGTTGTTCCAAATGTTTTCCACCTTCAAATGAGGACTGAAAAAGTGCTTTGTGAGATGTTCCAAACTTGGAGTAATGTTTTAAAACCTAGCCCTGCATTAAACTTCATAATTTCATCTTCAGCTGCCTGCTGTGTTTGTCTACTAATGCTCTGAAGCAACCCTCTGACAAGTCTTGTTTGTTAAAAAAGTTGGAAAACTGTTGATCATTTTTCTCCCACTTTATTTTGTGCAAGTTTGTCTCATGAATTCCTACTGAAATACAGTTAGTCAGAATTTTAAAAAAAACATCCTTCTGGTTAAAATCACACAAAACTCTTAATATTTTCTCGGAAATTACCTTCGAAATAGTTCATACTTGTATTCTTGTGAATTCAATTGATTGGACTTTATTTGGATAGACACACACCGGTTTCTATATAGGGCTCCACAGTTGCCAGAGCTCAACCTGGAAATCACTGCAGATCTGAAACATAAAATTAGTTTTAACAAAAAGCGTGGAACACAAAATCATCCTCAGTGCTTCACATGTTTCTTTCAAGTTTATTTGATAGGGACAGACACACATTGACATAGACAAACTGAATAAAACAGCAGTTCCATGTTTGCATCATGGTGTGTTAATTTCCCAGCTGTTTTTCTACTACAGCGGCAAGGAAAAATAATAGAGGCTCTTTTTTTAAAAGTTGCGTGTCCAGGTTGTCTTTTGTGTGGCTTCTTTTGTCGATGTAGTCGGGTTCAGAGCATATGTAAAGACACATTCTGCAGAGCAGGGTTACCTGCAGCCCTGTCATTCAGTATTATGTTCAGCCAGAATCATTCGTCTGTGAAATTCCCTTCTCCCTCTTCAACATCTTTTTTATTCTCATCTCCCTCTTTTCTCACCTTTTCACTCATACATATATTCTTGTATGGAGCACACTCTTCATCTGTCTGGGCTGATTTGCTCAGGTAGCAGTGTGCTACGGAGAGGGAGTGTGGGGGTTTTAATTGTGGCAGAGAAAAGAGCAGTACTGAGATGGTGGAACCATCGAGAAAGATGAGCAAGAGCAGAGAGAGAAAAGAGAGAAACTTAGTCTTGTGGTGAGAAAAGAGGAAAGCAGCAATATCAGAGATGAAAGAGGGGCGCAACAGAGAGAATAGAGTGAGCTGAGGCAGTCAGTCTGCAGTCTGCTGTGTCAGAGGTTCATTCAGGCTCCTGCAATTTATATCCTTTGCTCACACAGCTTTCACTTTCACACACTCTTGCAAAAACACATATACTTACACATGGACATGCACAAGAGAGACTGACATGTGACTCCCCTGGTTTCCATTTAGCTCTGTGTACACACACACTTGAGTCAGTCCATTTGTTTTTGTGGGAATCCCATGATATCAGATTGTGTATGTGTGGTGAAGCGAATCCTCGTGTGTGTTTCTGTCCAAAACCTGCTTTGTTTTTGCAGGGGGAAAGCAATTGTTCTGAAATAGATTTGGACAGTTCCCAGCTCTATCAAATTAACTGGAATATTACTGAAAAGTACATTTATTTTAGTAAGTCCAATAAATTCGTGAAACACATTAATTAATTACACACGAGCTGATGCTTTCATGCCTTTATTTCTGCTAATTATAGTAATTTTCCACTAAACACAGCATTTAACTTGCGAAAAAAAAATAAAAAAATTTTCAACACAATTCATTGTCCTCCACTTGGAGGACAGTGAATTGCTTTGAAATTTGCAATTTTTCCAATGATTTCTTCTAGTTAAATCTTTATTTATTCAAATTTAGAGTTGCAGGCTATTATTTTAGGATTAACAAAGATTAGACACACAATTATTTTGGCCAAATCTGAAATAAAAAATGATCTAAAATACAACTTAAAAAAAAAAATATATATATATATATATATATATATATATATATATATATATATATAATTTGCTCATATTTCATTGCACTAAGCTCTTGAATGACCTATTCATCACTTTAAATATAAGCAAATATCATTCCACAAAATGTAGTCAGTTTCCTTTGTTGTCCATATCTTTCAATTATATCTTGTTGATAACTCAGCTTTTAGCATATATCAGTTTGGTTCTGTTTATTTATTTGTCACAAGTTGCTCAGCAATAAAATGTGTCTTCAAAAATATAATTTGCCTAGTATTTGTGCGCACAGTGGCTTTAAAGCCTGCAGTTATGTACATCCACAGCTTGCACTTTTAAGTGAGTGAAATCAGTTCAGTTCACCTATCAAAAAACTACAGTTGCTCCTGCTTAGAAGCTTCATGTTAGTTTGAAAGAGTAATTACAGCTTTAACTGGTTGTTACAACAATTCAACTATTTGCTATCTAGAGGACAAAAGCAGTCTGCACCTTAAAAACAGAACTGCCAAGCTTATCATCTCAAGGTTTTGTGTTCTTAGTCTGTAAAGAAAAAAAATGTTATTCTGCTGAAGGATTACTGTAAAATACTGGAGGGAACACTGTGCATGGTTTTAGGAGAAAACAAAAAGGTAAAATATCGCATTTTGGGGATCCCTCATGTACCTGTCTATCCTCGCTGCTTAACTCAACCTCTATAGTGATTGTGAATTATTAATTCTGTTAGAACTAAGAGATACTGAAAATGGTTTGTGGAACACGTCACGAAACTTTGTCATAGCAATTTGCAAGCTTTTGTTAAGTGTGAAGTTGTGGCGTCACTTTTATTCCAAAGATATTTTATTCTCATTTTTCCAGGTTTAATGTGTGACGACCAAGCAGATGGGAAGAGAAAAGGTCGGCCTAAGACTGACGGTCAGGAGCTTAGGAGCATTCCTGTGAGTATCTCTCTTGGACATGTCTGGGTGCGTTATCTGGGCTTTGTTACCCATTCACAGTGGACAGTTTCTTGATGATGTCTGCAAGATAAACCAATTAAAAAAAAAAAAATTGCAGGTTCTCACTCTTTTGCCATCATGTCTACGCAGGCCCATTTGATAATACAATGGAAGGAAGAGTTCAAGCGCCGCTCCAGGGTTAAATGTCCATGTACAGGCTGTTGGTTAGAATTTCCCAGCATCTATGGCGTCAAGTACCACTATCAACGCTGCCCAGGAGTGAGTCACTAGCCTCTGCTGCTTTTCCTGCTATTTTGCTGGCTATTTCTGTTTGGATTCTTCCGATAAGGTTTAAAGATTCAAGAAACCCAGTTGAATCTTATACGACTATTGAAATTAAGAAATACAATTTATGGTTTTCTTCTTGAATGATTTCTAAGTTACGTAAGAGCTTCAAATAATAACCACCAACTAATATTGGATAATGTGTAGGGGGAGAGCTTAATCTAGGTCCCCACTCATGATATCTTTCAGCCCACTGTAGCCGAGAAGCTGAATCACAGCTGTCCCTACTGTGAGGCAGCTTTTGCCACAAAAGTACGGCTGGAGAAGCACAAACTGTGGAACCACCCAGAGAGAGTTAGCAAGGAGGCCAAGGAACAGCAGCTTCTTAAGATTCCTGTCAAATCCAACATCAAGAAAAGGTGACTGAAAGTTCAAATTCCTACCCAATGCCACCAGGCGAATGTTTTAATGCCTAAATCTGTTCCTTCGGTGTGTGAATTTAGGCCTATGGAGAACAGTCCACCATCGCCGGTGTTCTTTAAGGTGAAAAAAACGTACGAGGTTTCCGCACCATCTCAGAACGGAGAACTAACCCACCTCAAGAGTGAGAGGAAAGTACACAGTCACATCCCGGCTTCACAGCAGATTCACCCGTCATCGCACACAGTTCAGCCTCAGTCGCAGTCTCAAAGCACATCATCCGACGCAGGAGGGAGTGAAAGTGAAGGCGGAAGTTTTCCCTCTTCTTACCCTGACGAAGATCCAGAGCGAATGAGGCACAGTAAGATTGCAGCAAAAAGTTGTAATGCACTTTTGTGTTTGTCGCGTATGCTACGTCTTTAATGATACAATGACAGTTCCTTTTTTTTTTTGTTTTGTTTTTTTATGGTCCAGGACGGAAGCAAAAAACTCCCAAGAAATTCACCGGAGAACAGCCGTCAATATCCGGGACATTTGGGCTGAAAGGTAAGCACCTGCTGCTGCAGATAATCCAGCCTTTCTAATGGAAATTTGCACTCTACCACTATTTTTAAGTACCATGTCACCATGATTATAAAGATAAGTAGACCGTCTGTGTAGACAGAATCAGCATTGATTACAGAAGACCTCAGGAATTATTTGATGTTTTATTTAATTATACAATTCTAAGGAGAACTAATATACCACTGTGTCCCTGCAGAGTTGATTTTAGGCCATTTCAAGAGAATTGCATTTGGTTGTGTCATTGTGAATGCTCCCTATTGCTACTGATCAATGGAGCTAGTCTTTTAACAGCGTTAATGTGGCAACTGCTGAGATGCTTCATTTCTGGCTAAATGAAACAGTGAGTCACATACACAGCTTTACCAACCTCCTTCTGTCTTTGTCTCATTGATATGCTGGAAATACTCAGTGACTCATGTAGCATATTCAGGCTGTAAAGCACTTCTCATCACATGTCAAACAATTCATCTGCCGTTTTGCAAGACTGATTGCTCTCTTTCAGGCTGCCTCTCTGTATACAGTGTCTTGCAAAAGTTTTCATAACCCCTAAAGTATTTCATATATTTCCTCAATATAGCTGCAAACTTCAGTGCAGTTTACTGGCATTGTATATGACAGTCTAAGCCAAAGTAGTGCATCATTTTAAGTAGGATAAGATGATACATGGCATAATTTTTTCACACACCCCCCCCCGCCCAAAAAAAAAAAAAATCTGAAAAGTTTAATAGCATTTGCATTCAAGCCCTATTATTATATGACTAAATAACATCCAACCCAACCAACTGATTTTAATTATAACCTCAAGGCAATTTGCAAGACGATAACAGAAAACTGCTTATTTTTTGTTTGTTTTTTAAGCTGTTATTGGCTCTACTGGCTTTTATTTGACACTGGTCAGGAAGGAACAAATGTCATCGGGCCGGGACTCGGCCTTGGCATCGAAGTCCAAGGCCTCTATATATGGGTCACACACTTTATCCCTGAGCCATCGTCGTGCTCAACAGAGAACTAATTAATCCATCATTAAAAAAAATAAGGAGAGTATTGCACAACTTCAAATCTACCGAGACATACATTCAATTGAGATTCTGCTGACCTGAAAATCGATGCTCAAAATAAGGATCAAGGCTATTTCTGCCAGCGTTTGAGCTATTTCTAAAAAGAGTTAAATATTTAATGTCTTTAATTTGCAAAGCAGTTGAAACAAACCCCAAAACAGTTCAAGAAGATATTGACTAAGTACAAGTCAGACTCTTCAGGTTTTTAACTGTACAGAAAATGACAATGTCATTTTCTTAATACTTCACAATTTTAAACTACTGTCAGTCATATAAAAGCAAAAAAATATATGTTACTGGAGTTAATGTACAAAAGCTTAAGGTGATGTGAAAACTTTTTCAAAACACCAATTCTACTAAAGTAATATTTACAGTTGATTGTCCTTCTTACTTTATGCTATGGTACATAAAGTTTAACTCTTTGGTTTCTTGCTAATCGTTGACCATCATTTTCTCTTCACTGTCATTTTTTTCTCCCCCTTTTTTAAAATAGTTTATTGTCCAAATTGATTACTACAGTAGTTGTATCTTCTGTATGTGCATTTCAGGCATGACTAAGGTGGAGGAGAAGCTGAAGGCAGGACGAGTGAAGAGATCGGAGGGCTGTGGGTTCAACGATGAGCCTCAGAGAAGACCCGCATCTGCTCAGTCCTCCAAGAAAGAGCCAGTGACAACAAGCTCGGGTGGGAACCAAGATCAGATCTATGAAATCCTTAGATAAATAAAAAATAGTGAACCTAAAGAAATAAATTAACCAACACTGATTTTATACAAAATCTGAAAAAATTAACAAAAAAGGATTTCTAACATAAGTTTGCTCAGATATATTGTCATAGTGCACAGTTTATAAAATAATCTAATCTCCATATATAGTTTTTTTTAGTGATGCCACAGCATTTCAAAAGCTGAGATTTACTAGATTTTTTCTTTTTTTTTTTTTTTTTTTATTAATCTGCGCAATACCACCTACTAATTTTGGCAGTTGTTGAAGAACTTCCTGTTGTTAAGTGTTTGTTCGCTCCTTGATTTTCTGTGACTGCTTCATCCTCCTCAGGCTGGAGAGGTGGCTCGACCAGATCCCAGCCATTACTATGTAAGAAGCACGTAGGAGAAAGGTCGCTAGTGTGTAACAAAGCTACATTTAAAATTACCCAGGCTTGGAAGGCTGTCATTACATTTTTTACAGGGGTGTAGAAATTGAATGAATTCTTCCTGTCTGACATTGTGCGTACTGCTTTTCGCTGGGCTCGTCTGTTCAGTGCGGTTCTGGGAATTTTAAAACAGATCTGATAGATTCATTTAAACTGAGAAAAACATTAAACAATAAAATGTTCCTAATCCTTAATATTTTACAAGCCTTCCTGCTTCCCATTTGTTGCCCAGGTGGTGTTTCTGACACTCAGTGGCAGCGAACAATCTCGGAGCGTGGTGAAGTAGTGTGTCCGACCTGCTCCATTGTCACCAGGAAAACAATCCATGGTCTGAAGAAACACATGGAGATCTGCCAGAAGGTAAGCAAGAAATACACCTGTCTACCACACAGAGAACCAAAACTTCACTGAAACTGGGTCAATATTCTATTTTGGTAGGGGAACACTGTTTTATGACTATAGCTACCAAACTACCATGAGCATGTCTGTTTAGAGGCTAAGATCTGCCCGCGGACCAGAGCACATAGCCTGACTAATTAATTTTAACAGTGGCATCATTAGCTGTTGTACATATTTAGTGTTAGATTTTTAACACTAAAATAGCATGATACCATGATATTAATACTGTGAAACCATGATAAATAGTTTCTCAAAGTTATAATGCTGTGGGAATGTCATACTGATCTCTAATTACTCTTTGCATATTCTGTGATGTTATGCGATACAACATGATGGTGAAAAAGCATATTACCTCGATTACTGTTTCAAAAATTAAGTTTCAACTCTGCATTGTACAGATATGATCCAGAAATACCACAATGTTCTTCAGGTGCTGGGTCTTTATTATCAGCAGTGTTATAGTGACCCCCTCCCTGTGGATCGGTAGTTAACTATGCCATCTGCAGACCAAATCTGACGTCTTCCAGAGTCATCTTATGACATAGGCAGACCTTGCTAAATAGATTACATTTACATTTTATATTTGTTTTTGTGTTGATAAACCAAATTTGCCTTTTCAGGGCCTGATTTTGGCTTTTATGCCACTATAACAAAAATCCATCTGTGCACAATCTGGCTTTTTTAAAGTGACATCTGTATATACACTAGGTGGCTATGAAAATAAAATCTGCCAGTATCTCCAGCCTGTGCAGCATTTTTACTAGTTTCTGGTTGTAACATAATAATTTTTTATCTTATACCTCAGGGGTTGGGGTTTTTTTTTTATGAGAACTGACCAGATTGTTGACTAGATTTTAGTGCATTGATTGATTCAGTTTAGTAAAAAGTCGACCTTAGTTTTTGTTTGATGTAAATGTAAATGATTCTCTGTTTGGCCCTCACTGTCCTCAGCTCCAGGATGCCCTAAAGTGCCAGCAGTGCCAGAAACAGTTCCGGTCCAAAGCTGGTCTAAACTACCACACCATGGCTGAACACAGCACCAAGGTATTCTGGCATGTGTTGTGTTTTTTTTTTTGTTGTTTTAAGTTGTGTTAAATACACACCCTGTTGTGTCTTCTTTGTGTATCAATCTTAGCCTGACCCTGAGGAAAATGCTTTGGGTGTTTTGAGAGTTTTGAGAGTGTTTTGACAGCAAGGAATTTCAGCTGTTTGGAAACTGCTCTGACTTTTTCTTGTGTTGATGTACTTCTTCTTCTCTGGGCCCATAAAGTTATACCTTATGTTTAGATATTTTTCCATTCAGTAAAATACATCTCTGTTTTTAATTCCTTAAAATCGTATTGGAAATTGTAACCTGGATGGTAGTTTTTTTGTTTTATTGCTCCTATTTCTTTCTGACGACCAAGAGCTTCATTAAGACACTATCATGCCCGGTCTTGCATTAGAGCAATGACACTGCAATGAAGTTTGTTAAATAATTCAAAGCTGCTTATTTGTAAAGGTATCATAAAAAATTAACGACTCTACAGGCAGTAAACTTTGAGGCTCGTAGTATGTCGGTAGGTTGTGAGCACCTAGACTCCAAGGAGCTGATACATGGGCTCATACATGCATATTTATGATGTGTGTCATGCTTGGTAGTTTTGGAGTAATGATCCATTTGCACCAGCAAAATTAAACTGAGCGAATCAGCCATATATCTTCTGAAGGGACTTAAAGGCAGACATTACTGGCATCCTTACAACTCAGCAGTGAAGATGACTTCAGCATGTTAGGTATGTAAGATCCTCAGAGATATGAGAAGGCAAGTTATTCCAGGAAAATATCAATGCACAGCATATTTTATTTTATAGATGATCATAAATAGTTAGTGAAAATATAAAAGATCTCAGTATTTTGGATATGGTTTTGTCACTTGTGTTTTTGTACCCAAATCTCAGAGTAGGTCCTGACTGAAGTAGTGGAAAGCTGGAATTAAACTTGTTCCTTTCTGATTGAAGGACAGTTACGATACTCACTCTAGCCACAGCAGTGGCCCCTATTTTTAAATTATTTATGGCAAAAAATATTTAGCATGTATTTGTAAGGCAAGTTGGTATTTCCATTGATCATATTTATGCAGGCATTACTGCAGAAAAGAACATCATGCCGCCACTGCAGCATCTGCTAAATCAGATTTATTCATCTACTGGCTTTGATTTATAGAAGAATCATTTTTTTAATGTCCTGTCAATCTTTCAGCCCTTAACTTGAACTCTGGTCCTTTATTTTATGTGTAGCGATTCTTTTTACTATATTATTTATAAGTATTTTATATTGATGTGGTTATTTTATTTATATTAGCCTTAATTAACTTATTTTTGTCCTTATTTTTATGCAGCCATAAACTATGCTAGTTTATAGTAGCTGCATACCACGGGTGCTGTAGTTTGGTATTTTTGTTGCGTGTAGTTTTCAGGGTCTTTTGTGTTTGAAGTGTTTGTACATGGACTAGGCTATTTAAAAACCTTATTTACATAGTCTGTACGATAGTTGGGTTGCACCCTGGAAAGGCCTCTAGTCCATCACAGGACAAACAAGTAATTCTTTGCCTCTCCTGGTGGTTCTCACTCTTCTTTTGCTCTATATATGTTAGAGAAATTAATAATGCATGTTGATGCACAGCTACCCTTTTTTGCCCGTCAGTGTAAATCACAGGCTCAATCTGCAGGCAAACATTATTGTTGAGATAGAAGGGCATCTCCTCTTTACCTTCACCTTTTATCTGCCGCAGAGTTGCATGCCGTGCGTCTCGTGGAGCGTTTTACACTTGAGTAAACACGTGAAGTTAACCCCCCTGGGATTACTCAGTAGGTCCAGACTCTTTCCAGTGCCCCACTCTTCTTTTTTTTCTATCTGGCAGCCTTACCATCTGTTGTTCTGGTCTTGGCTGCGTTTGGCACCAGGCGACGTTCAAGTGAAAACATGAGTTTGACAGTTGTCACAAACACGCCTTGAGTAACAGCCTCACCATGAAATCATTCAATGATCCTGCCACAGTGTGAACAAACGAGAGGGAAAACATGCTTTCTTGGTACAATGTTGTTGTGATGTGAGGAAGCGGGTGGCGTTGTGGTGCGACAAGCTTATGTGACGGTGTGTTTGTTCCTCCTCAGCCCTCAGGGAGCGAAGGCCAGACGGGCAACGAGCACGAAGAGAGAGAACGGCTGCGGCGAGTGCTCAAACAGATGGGACGAATCAAGTGTCCTACTGAGGTATTCTCCTCTCTAGTTCTTTCCATGGCCTTGTCTCTTTCCTGCCTTTTGTCATATATCATATTTTCTTTTCAACATCTGTCATTCACATTTTTGTCAGTTTTGCTGTCTAACGTGACACAATCCCTTTTCCACATTTAGCGGTTTGGATTTGGTGTCTTTTTGTTCTCAGACTCCTCACATGTGCCACTTTCATTTTACAAGGCTCCTACCTTGTAAAGTCTGGAAAATTAGTTTTAGTATTTTTATTATCAAAATAACTAAAGAAAATGAAAAATATCTTTCTTAGACTGTCTTCCCTGAACGACTGTGTGTGTGTGCGTGATTGTTTGTCATCTGTGTCCCTGTGAGAGATGGGCGCAAGCCCACCTGCAACCATGGAAGAACAAGCGGGTAGAGGCGATGGATGGATGGATGGATGGATGGATGGATGGATGGATGGATGGATGGATGGATGGATGGATGGATGGATGGATGGATGGATGGATGTTCCGACAAACTTTATATTAGTTTTACTCATCTATCTATCCATCCATTCGGCCATGCCTTGCCCTGCACAAGTATCCCGACCCCTTTAATTTTTGCCTGTTCTAACACATTAGAACCACAAACGTCATCATATTTTATTTTAATTTTATGTGCTAGGTTACCAGAAATATATAGTAGTGCATGACTGAAGTGGAAGGAAATAAAAAATGCTTTTCAGTTTTGGCAAATAAAAATCTGAAAAGGATGGTGTGTTTGAATCCGTCCTCCCTTTCTCTGATACCTTAAATACAGTACAAAGAACTTCCTTCGTTTTATTAGTTAAATTATTTTAATATCATATCACATATTTACTATCTTATTGGAAAAACTGCGTCAATAGATGCAAATTGTTATTCACATACTCCAATGGCAAGGATTTTTGTTTGCAGATATGCAAAGTTTTTAGAGACATACCCTCCAAAATGTGCAGATTTTTTCTCAATGAAAGGTCATCTCCTATCATTTTTATATTTTTATTTGTTAAAAAAAAATAAGAAAAGAAAACCAAGTATGGTGTTCCTTCCTTTTTACAATTATGCATTGTTTTGTGTTCATTCATCAAGTAAAATAAAAAGAAAATGCTTTTAAATGTGTGGTTGTGGCTCCACAAAATGTGAAGAAGCCAATAGAGGAATGAATCTTTTTTGCTACTAGGCTTCATCCATTCATGCCACGTTTGTGGATTGTGTCGCTTCTATATTGACAGTCTGATTTGTGTACAAACATCTGCCCTTCCAGCTCACTAAAGGTATGACATTTTGACAAAAAAAAATGTGTGGGAACAATGATTTCAACTTATTTTTCAGCTTATTTATTTATTTATTTCCGATATGTTGTCTATGCCACGTCATCTCTCAGTTCCTGTTTCTGGGACTACAAAAGGTTTCGGAGAAGGAAATTTGAAAAACTGATTGCCTGATTGATGTTTAGCTGCAACATGTTTGCACACAGAAAAATTACCACCTGTCAAACATCAACTAGAAAACGTTGACTGAATCCAGTATTGCTGTTCCTTTTAACATTGACATTTTCTGCCTTCCTGGCTCGTTGCTAAATGTTCATCCTGTCTCATCTCTTGTCATTGTTGTCACACCATCTTACAAACCTTTTGTGCACAAACACGCATACACTCTCACACATACACGCACACACACACATATATGCATATACACAGGGTTGTTCAGCCCACTTTTCCAGTCTGATGGGCTACCAGTATCACCAGCAGCGTTGTGGAAGAGAGTTTTCTGACGATGAGAAGCCTGTGTTTCTGTGCCAGCACTGTGGGAAGAGCTACCGCTCCAAGGCAGGCAGAGACTACCACATACGCACTGAGCACCCGCCGACCATCACCACCGTCACGACAGCGACAAACGCCAATAACTACAAGAACAGCCTCACTGACACCAACAACAATACAGGCAAGGAAAGGGTAAGTGGATCTTTGAGAAGACTGATGAAATATTGTCATAGCATCAAGAATTTCTCCCAAATGAATTCAGTCTTTGTTTTTCCAGGGGATTTCTGATGATTCTCCATTAGTAGGGAAGAAAAAGGAGCAAAACTTGCTCGAGAGGAAAGACTGGCAGGAGAAACCCCCATCCAGCCAGCCTAAAGAGAGAGACTTGGAAAGGGAAGAGGAGAGAAAACAAAGCAAAGAGAAAGCAGCACAAATTAAGAGTCAGGGGGAGGACTTTGAAAGGACACCCAGTGGCCGAGTGAGGCGGCAGTCTGCTCAGGTGGCCGTGTTCCACCTGCAGGAGATAGCAGAGGATGAGCTGGCCAAAGACTGGGGCACCAAGCGACGCATCAAGGACGACCTGGTGCCTGACAGCAAAAGGGTGAGGACACATTACATATGGTGCTGGCTAGAATATTCATATCGTTAAATGTTTTTTTTACATTTTGTCATGTCACAATCACAAACCTCAATATATATTTTTTTTGGACAACAAACATAAACGCACAGCCAGAGCAACAATGTAATGTTTTAATTTAAATCCAATTGAGAATCTGTAAGCAAGACTTGAAAATTGCTGTTCACAAACACTCTCAATCTAATGAGAATGAGATTTGAAAAACTTTTAGAAATCTGCCCTTAAATGTTCCATGAAGTATTTCCTCAGGGCAGTTCAATGCATGTACACACGCCACACATTTTAGCATATGCATTACGTTGTTTGGGTCGGCCACATAAAATACCTATAAATAGATTAAGGCTTTTGAAATACCAAGAGAAAATGTAAAAAATCTGAAGTAATGTGAACACGTTTGCCATGCACTGTGGTAAGTAATTAGTGGCAGCATGAATACATAAGCACAAAAAAGAAAGACAAATATCTATTGCAGTGAGTTAAACTTTAATTCAGTTAACAATTCAGGAAAAATGTTCTCCTCTGTACAGTTGAACTACACTCGTCCTGGCCTCCCCAACTTCAGCCCAGAGCTACTGGAGACCTGGAAGAACCAAGTGAAGGAGAAGGGCTTCATTTGCTGCACAAATGCTGTATGAAATTTCCTCTTGTTAACATGTCAAAACACAGAAAACAAATCTGTTTGGATAAAGTACAGAGTTTGTAAAATAAAAGGGCAAACTTTTTCTAGAATTTTAGTTATGAAGGAGAGGTTTAAATAATTTTACAACTTTGTAAATATTTTTGCTTGAAATCACTGTAATTCAGAAAGAGTCTGTTTTCCTTACTTCAGTTTTTTAAGAGTTTTATAAATATGTTCACTGACTCATTATGATTCCTTGCTCTTGTTTTTACTGCAGAACTGTGAAGCTGTATATTCCAGCGTCTCTGGACTGAAGGCACACCTTGCCAACTGCAGCCAGGTACAGACCTCCATCTACAGCAGATCTATCAACTACCTAAACCACACCTATCTATTGTGACAACATCATATAAGCTGAAATGTATACAATTAGAAGCCAATCCAATATTTGAACCTGAGGTCATCTGCCAGACCAGATGTTTCCTCTTCAGTTTGTCCGTAGTGAACATAGGTCATAGAAAATGTTGAAATTGATCACCAAAAAATAAAAAGTAATTAATTTAGTGGAATCTTATGGCCAAGTCCCCATAGAACAGACATGATAAGACATAGAACTCATATCTCATAAGACAACCTTTAATTAAGAGTTCTCTTTGCTTATCTGAAAGAAAAGGTCATAGGAAATCTTTGTAAAGCATGATACGACTCATCCAGTCTTATAGAAAATGTCAGACACCTAATTAAATATTCAGATCTTCTGACAGAAAAGTTCACATATTGGTCTAAATCTTGTTTTATTGTTTGGTTATTGTAATTTTATTATAGATGAACCCAAAAAGATAAGTTTTTTTTACTCATTAAACAAAAGATATGAGCAAACATCAGTGTGTGTTTTAACTGAAGAACAACTTGGGACACACTGCCACTTACAGCCAGTGTACCCCTTTGGTTGAAATAATTTTAATGAGACACTTCTTGTAGTTTATCTACTTAGTCTAGCAACGTTTGCCTCACTACTTGTCATTGTAAGTGGGAATAAAGATGTAGGTGTACTAATTTATTCCTTTAAAAAATGTGCATGTTTTATAACATTTTATAAAACATGTCTTTTGGGCCTTTATTGTTTATTTACATCACTTGTATTTCTCAGTTTAAGATTAACGATTAAGATTAAATATCCATATGACCACAAAAACACCATAGATCAACAAAAGCTAAACTTAGGCATATTCACAATGATCCATTCATGAATAAATTTGAAACACTCAATAAAGAAGGTAAACACATCCCTGAAGAACACATTTGTAAATAATGCACATCCATTGAATCTCTCTACTTAACATGATGAGCTTATTATGCATGCTTATTGTATTTTTGAATTAGTTCAAGTTAGTCTTCATACTGTATTTACACATTTTTTTGTTTCTACTTGTCTGTGTGTTTTTCAGGGTGGTGGTGAAATGGGAAAGTACACCTGCCTGATCTGTCAGAAGGAGTTTAGCTCAGAGAGCGGTGTTAAATATCATATTAGTAAGACACACTCACAGGTGGGTCTCTCTCTGTGGAAACTTAACAAACAGCCATTAAGAACGCACTAACATAAACATACAGTATATTTGGACATGAATGTGCCAGCTTCATTGAGAAAAAACTTTTTCAATTAAATGCCACATTCTTAGATTATCATGCAAAACATTCATGGGACATATATGTTTTGCATGCAAACTTAGCAGTTTTTTCCCTGCTAATGTGTGTATATGCAGAGTGTCTGATAATTGTGTGACATTATGCACAAAGACATCACTGAAGTGGCTGCTATGAAGGAAATGAAAACGCATAGATCTTACTGCAGAAAAGTTTCCTAAAGCTAATAAAAGTTATGCTGATCGCTCTCTCTGCAGTATAAGAAGCTAATAAAAAGTGTCCTAAAAGTAACTGCTCAGCAAGAACTACTTAGTGGCCCATTCTCTGGGAGGGGTGAAGGCCAAAATGATAAATAAATGATCGAAGCGACCTGAAGTTCTTTAATGCTCCAGCAGAACTACAGGCTGATCACCTCCATGCCAAGCTGCATTGATGCAGTAATTTAAGCAAAAGGAGTCCCAGCAAAGTATTGAGTCAATATACTGTGCAGTACATCGACATACTTCTCAGTAGATCGATAATTTTTAATTGGTCTTTTTCTATTTTCTAATTGAATTATCAGCTGTAACCCATAGTCATCAATTCTAACAGATGCACACTTCACTGATAACACTTTCTGTGTTGTAAAGTAATATTCCTTTATGTTTGCCCTTGGTATGTTTTATGTTTATGTTTGTTCAAATTTTAATTGATTTGGTGTGTGTGTTTTTTTTTTTTTTTTGTAGAACTGGTTTCGTGCATCAACCAGCCAAGGGGTTTCTGGTAGCAAGAGCAAAGGGTTGGAGAACAATGGATTCAAAGCTGAGGTGAGGAACGGAGCCACCTCAGGTAAAAAGAGGGGCCGGAAACCAAAAGAACGGCCCCTAATGGACGAGTCTCTACAAACAAAGACAGATGCCCTCACCACCGCCCAAAATTCACCTCCAGCCATGACCCCTCCCTCTCGCTCAGCACAGTCCCCAGCCCTGATCCCTGACCAAACGGACAGTGATGATCCAGGCCAGGAGAGGCAAATCCCCCCCCCTGCCTCCAGACGGAACAAAACCAAGAAGATCTTTTTGTCAGAGTAGCACTGCTTTTATCAACCCTGGAGTCGAAATGGATGCTTTTGGTAAACGTGCCGCCTGGAAGCTAAAAGGACCTTTCCACCTTGGCACTGGGTAGAAAGCCAGATCAACGATGAAAACTTTTAAAGATTTTAAGAGTCTTTAAATCTTGGTTTTATACCTTAGAGTTAATGTGTGCACTGGTATGAACATTTATCACCACAGTAGTGCATTTCCTCCATTCCACCTCTGTTTCCTTTATAGGGCACACATTTCAGTTTCTGATCCCACAGCAGAGGCCGTAAACCAAGTGCAAATCAAACCCTAACATTGATAGAAGTTATTAAACAGAAGTAGTATCCCAAATAGATTAATAATAATAATTTTCTCTGCAAGAGTCAAATTGTTTTGAAAGGATTTAAAAAGGAAATTCTATTAGCATGGTGAAGTCATTTTATGATAGCTGGTGTTTTTTCCATGTTTCTTCACAGATATACTGTATGTGTACATAAACAGTAACTATATATATATATATATATATATATATATACTCAAAGTAATGATGCCATCCTTCGTTTTCAAGCCTGATGCGTCCAGTTGGCTTTTGGTCAGTCACAAATTTTGCAGTGTGTTGTAGTGCAACGTTGTTTCAATGTATTATTTTTCCTTTTAGTTTTGCTTTCATTACTTTTTTGGGGGTTTCCAGTTCTTGTGAGCAGATTTCACATAAGCTACAATATTCAGTTGTTTTCTTTCCCCCAGTGCTGTTCCTTTTACCTAACATTTCCATGGTTACTTTAAACTGAAGGTGATAATTAAAAAAATCCAAAAAGGGATTTTTTTTTTTTTTCATTTATCTCTTAAGATGATAATTCAATCACAATAACACACAGTGATATTATTTAATCGATTTCACTTAAAGAAGCAAAACAAGGTCTGGCCAAACAAAATATTTAGCAGAAGGAAGGATTTTTAACATCGTTGCACTGTTGCAGCACAATCAAATTATATATCTCTATTAAAAGGAGGCCATACTATGGGGTCTGCTTTACTATAGGTCTAAGCTGCAGAGAAGATTTAAAAAAAGCTATCTTTTATAGAAAGGTTTAAGATGATAACCTTTTATTACACAGGCAAAAGATGTAAATTAGCATCTCAGAAAGTGATGTATTTGAATGAATTAGCTAAAAGTTGTTGCCTTGCACTTTAACCCTCTACCCTTCTTGCTCTCCTCTTGTCGTTTTTGCACTCTAGGACTATTCGATCTAGCCTGCAGGTCGTCTCTTTAACAGGAGTAGGAGAATGTTGCTCTGATCGGAAAGGAAACAGTTAACTCTGTCTGAACTACAAAACAGGACTGTGTAATTATTGCTTACAGAGCCAAGCAAAAGTGTTCATACCCTTCAAACTTTTTAACATTTTGTTTCATTGCAACCACAAACTCCACCATGCTTTGTTTTGTTTCATTGTGGTCAACTAACATGAAGTAGCAATTAATTATAGTGTAATTTTTACTAATAATACACATCCATGTTACTCTGTAGATCCACCTGTACAGTGTTTTACATTTAGGACAATGGTCAGCTTTGGTCTCATCTGACCAGTTTGGCACTTTTCACACATTTGCTGTCCCCTGCGTGGCTTGTGTCAATCTGCTAATCATCAGTTGTATTCTTATTTCTGCTTTTCCATAAAGGCCAGATTTGTAAAGTTCTCAAATAACTCAGCTCAGGATGCTGTTTTTATATTCTGTCCCTGCTTTAAGCTTTTCTACAATTTCATCCCAGACCTGCCTGATGTGGCTCTTTGGTCTGCATGATGCTGTTTGTTCATCAGTGTTTTCCAACAATCCACTAGGGCCTATGGGGAACAGCTGGGTTTATACTGAGATTTTACTACCAGTAGTAAAATCTACTAGAACTAAAATCTCTTGGTTGCATTAAATTTTATTTAGATGCATTAGAATAAAAGATGCTGAGCACATATACACTCCTTGCTTTTTAGATTTTTTTTTTTTTACAATTTAAAGTAGATAAAAAAATAATTTATTATGTTTCTTGTTTTTATAACTAAGCACTACTTTGTGTTGATTTATCACATACAGTCACATTAAAACACATTGAAATTTGTGCTTTTAACATGACAAACATTTGACAAGGCTCAAGGGGTATGAATGATTTTGCAAGGTACTGTATTCCAGAAAGCCATAACTGGTCTTAACAAAGTTCAGAGTTCCTCAACATTTCAACTTCAGATTTGTTATAAAACAATAACAAGTTAGATTACTTGATTACTTAAGATGAGAGAATATATTCACTTTAACGTGCTAAAAAGTCAAAGTAGATACTTGAATCCACAGTTATGTTAAACTTTTCAGCAAATGTAAACAACATATTACTTGGTTTATTTGTGCTGTTTGTGTATAAAATAATGACGCTCACTTTTGAAAAAAAAAAAACAAAAAAAAAAAACAACACAAAACATAGAAACAAAAAAGATCACAAATCTATTTTAGATTTTCTTGTGTGTATTACCTAGATAGCCAGTCTGCTAGTTTTGGATATATTGTGATGTGAGGGATAATAAGGGTGCTTTACTTGCCACTTTACCTTAAAGACCTGATACAACGCGCCTAAAGTCAACAGATCCATCCAGCCATGACCTTCCTTCTGGCAAGTTGTCTGAATTTTGGAGCAAAATGTCAAAGTTATTAAATCCAAGCACTGATGTCAGCTGAACATACCCTAGGAATATAGAGTTTAATAGGTTATGGGTGTGTTCAAGTGGTTTCATCCCCGTGCTGTTACTTTTTATAACGTACAGCAAAAATTCTACTTGAATTCCTCCTGAACTAATCAGACAGTGGAGTGTATTCAGATGGGGATGAATATGTTTTTATAGTGGAATGGGCCTTTTTCTGCTATTTAGGCGTAGTTCACAAAAGAGCAGAAGTTAGAGAAGCACTGACCGGTCCATGGACGAGTTTTTAACACGAGTTGTCCAGACCTTGCTTGTATGCGTGTGTGCGCGAGTGTGTGTGTGTGTGTTGGTGTGTGCGTGTGTGTGTGTGTGTGTTTGTATTAAACGGTTAGCACCTTTGTAACGAGTGGATGTCGGAGAACAGTGACACTCTCTGTTGAGTGTGATGCTGTGGCACAGAATCAGTTCGTCAGCTGCTTGTTTCCCGTCTCATACAACATTGCGTCGACTGTGTTTACCCGACAAGCTTTTGGTGTTGCAATATGATAGTTTAGCACTGCTTATAAGAGTGGATATTTTATATTTTATAACACCCTTTACTATCTGTCTTCCTATTACTTGGAAAACACATCTATCCTGCAGTGTGAATAAACTGCAACTTGTTTAAAACTTACAGCAATATACCATATTTAGCTGATTTTGTTGGCTTGCTAATTTTTTGATATTGACGTGTCTTCTTAGAAATGTGTGGCTTTTTTTCCACCCTCTCCCCAGTCCACGCCCCCTGATTTTCTTTAATTGCTTTAAAATGCTTTTCACATTATCTGAATTTTACACAATAATGTTGGAAAAATAATCGTAGACCACAAAGAACCTTGTTGGCATACACTGTTATTTTGTCCATTTTGATGATGCACATGATTTCAGCTTTTTTTAGTACACAAAGGCAACCCTGTTGAGAGAGTCCTTTATTATTATTACATATAGATATGGGGGCAACAAGGCATATGTATGTGTGTTTGTTTCTGTATTTAGTGCACTTACTATAACATAAAATAGGCTTGAAAATAGGAGTGTTGTTGGAGCTTTCTAGTGACCTGGACTGTGTGGTGTGACTTTTGTACCCAGGGAAACAGGAGGCTCAAGTGTCTTCCCTTTGTCAGCAATGTTATTTCCAAAACCAAGATTAATCCTTAGAAATCCTCTTAGCCTATGAATTTTACCCTGGTTCGTTTTGTATGCTACCTACTTGAAAAGCAGGAACTGGCATCCATCTCTGGTGCCGCCCATTGTAATGAAATATTTGAGAGCTGCACTACGGCTCATAACTGTTTATGATACTTGGGTAACAGATAAAATGAGACTGATGATGTAATTAAGATTTCCATATCTGAAATTAAGCTGTATAGTACTTAACACTGGAGGAATCAGTTCCTCCTTTGTGTCTGAACTGTTACACTTTTTCTCCCAAAACTTGTTGTATTACCTGTGCATTAGTATCCCTTAACTAATTAATAAAGTTTGATGACTAAATCAGTGTCGTATGTATGTAAGGTCTTTGCCAGTGTTATTTTAAACGTTATTCACATTATATACAATCCTCCACAATAGCTTCACTACAACTGGTAAAGGTTTGTACTCTGAAAGAGTTTTAGAGGACTATGCATACCCTAAACAAGAAATTTGTTTTTCACAAGGCCGAAAAAACATATTGTGACACCATTCTATTTTTGCAGCTTGTTCTTGACACATTTTCAAGAACAATATGAAAATGTTTTTGTTTTTGTTTTTTTCTTGTATGCTGTGTGACAAATAATGTGTCACTGTCAAAAACTTGTGGTTACTATACTGATAAATGTTATTTTTGGAGGAACCTATACAGGTTTCCTAAGACTTCTCTACTTGGGTTCTTATTATATATTAAGTGTCAGAAAGAATTTATTCTTGTTATTGCTACCTTAAGCAAAGAAACTAATTTCTCTATTAGTGCCTTTGCTAGTTTCTTTGCCCTGTTTTTAAATCCACCAAAAGAGGTGCCCAGGAGGCATCCTGATCAGATGCATAAATAACCTCAAATTATTATTTTTTTAAAATTCAGCTGTTGATAACCAAGAGCAGGTTCTTTAAGTCATGATTCAAATCTTATGAAAAGAGATGAGGGTCAGAATGTAGACTTAACCAACCACATCCCTTCTCTTCACCACATTGCAGCATATGAGACAATCAGTCCATCTGCCTATTTACTATGTAAAATTAAACACCCATTCAGATACTTCATTTTTGACGCACCATAGAATAATGTCAACAGTGTACATGTTTTCTATCGCATTGTGACATTAAATTCTGAAATGACACACAGATTATGATAGTTCTCTGGGGTCTTGCTGTGTAAGTGTTATGAGAGTTACTGAGCTTTAAGTATGAAACGCTTAACAATACCATACCATACCAACTTTATTTATAAAGCACTTTAAAACAACCACAGCTGACACAAAGTGCTGTACATTAAAACACAAGATAAAAAAAAAACAACTCTTACAGTTTAAAAACAAACAAACAAACATACAATTTAAAACTAGATCCCGCTGGAGTTGAAAGCCAAGTAAAATAGATGGGCTTTAAAACAAGCTTTAAAAGTGTTGATAACAATTGATAACAATTATTAAGAATTGGAAGGATTTCCCATACATGCAGCTGCAGCAGAATTCGTCATCAAATTAACAAGTAGCCAATACTTCTGTAAGACAAACGATTGTTAAAATAAAACTTTCAGAAATTAAAAAAATACTATATA